TCCCACATCTTCTGAGAGGCCCCATATTCCAGATATACAATCAACCTAGAAACAAATATACTTTCCACAACATCAATCAGGGTACTCAAAACTATCAAGTTTGAGAAATCTTTTTTGAGAACCTGGTGTGAAAATCTAATTTTGGGTAGGGAGATGGATTGTACAGAATTTTTCAAATAAATTCCTGAAAATGCCCCCCAAAAAAACTTTGCATCTTCATTTTAGACATATTTTTGAAAAAGGTGGCTTGAGCCTGATTGTTTTTAGAACCCTAGATGGACATGACTACAAGCCACAGTTGAAACATCACCCTCACCACACAATTGTAAATAAGCCCCTCACAAGTGTGTTTGCTGTGCCCTCAAAGGGGCTGATGGCGGACTTGCATTTTTTGGCGAGGGACTTGCAAGGGTTAAGTACCCTTATGTACTTTTTTCAACATCCCCTCTAAACCTCACCACAAAAATCTCCAGAATTCTCATATAGTTTTCCAAATAGTTTCACATATCTTGGAACCATGCAAAGATACCACTCTGCATGGCTAAAGAGCTGTGTAAAAATTGGCCTCAATCCTGTCTAAATGACCTTAGACTGTGTAAGCCTTATGTGTATGCCTCCAACGTGATTTGGAAGCATAGAGATACCAAGGTTACATTACAAAACCAGAGCACTTCCTTCCAATTCAAACCAACATATAAGGTACCAAAATATGTAGACAGATTTGGAGAAGAACATACATACATCATTCTTGAACTTCTTGTGGTGAAATGCAGAGGGGAAGTTGAAAAAAGGATGTAAGGATACTTAACTCTTGGAAATCCTCCGCCAAAAATGTGAGTTGACCATAAACCCCACTTCAAGGGCATAGGAAACACATGCATGAGGGGGTGGGGCTTAGTTAAGCTTGACAAATAGAATTCAAAATGTAAATCAAACCACAACACCTGGCATAAGTGGAGTTGGTATTGCTTCATCCCAAAACTATCAAAGACTTCCAGCGGTAAAGTCATATTTTCACAAGAAGACTTGTATTTGCTTGTTTGCATACCTTTCACAAAGTTTACTTTTTGGTGCTTGCCCTGTTTGTCATAGGGCTTACACCAAAGAACCAGTGCACATTCTACTAGGTACTGCTGTCACTTCAAGTACTACATGCCAGCGCCAGAGTGACCCAAAAATTTTGAGCCACCAACAATGTCAATTATGAGACACTGCATGCAGCCATTCTATACCAAATTTGGTCCATGACTGAAATTGTATCAGAAACAAGGTTATCTTTTTGAAATGCCAGAGAAGACCATCATGAGGAATGCATGAATTCAACTTCTATCATCTTTTCACTCTTAAGCCATCCAAAATTGAGAGGAGGAGACTTGCTCTGAAGAGGGAAAGGATATCATGCAGATTTTACGTTTGTCTGTTGAAGTGAAAGGAGGCAAGCTTGAAGCTTCATGATACATGCTAGGACTCAATTCCAGAGGGTGTTCCAAAGGCTCCAATACTTCACTTCCTATCCACAATTTAATGGTACAGACTAAGACCCTGGCATAGCCCTGGGTCATCTAACATCACTGATTATAGCATTTTTCATACCAGCAAAAAGACTGGATTTTGCAGTAATTTCCAGTTTCATGTGTATTTCACTCCCAGGTTTCAGGAGTATAGTCAACTCAAATTTGGGTCTCATACCTTCCACACCAACATGTTTGAGAAAATATCTTGGGTATCCTGAGCATAAGAAACTTTCCTTCATTTGAGCCAAAATATCAAAATTAACAAAGTCCCTTGCAGGTGGTAAAAACTGATCCCTGTGTAGGGACTTATGCCAAATGTGGCCTTCCTGCTGTCAGAGGTTGTGAGATTTGGAAAGGGGAGAATAGACTCAAAGAAAAACTTTTGCTAAGTAAAATATTTCTTTGGTTCCCTCTTGAGAGATTGAGGTACTGCTTCTTCCAGGTGTGACCCTTGACTCAGATCTTCCATATCTTGAGCCATTCTCAAGTTTTCATTGCCATCCAAATTGTGTCTTTTGAATTTTTACATACAATTGTGTTGTTTGTGTAACATCCCTTTGAATTTTTGAAAATCAATGATTTGCTTTTGAGGCATCAATGGAAACTCAGGAACAGATCAAGATATGGTACATCTGAGTCAAAGGTCCTACTTGAAAGAAGCAGGACTTCAAATTCCTCCAGGCATATTTTGGAAATGTCTCCTGTGCAAAAGCCTTTCTTTGGGACCATTTTCCCCCTACCAAAACCCATGACCTCTCATGCCAGGAAGACTACATTAATTGGTGTGAGTCCCTAGACAGGCTTTGGGTTTTACAGCCTGCAAGGGACTTTGTTAAGTTTGCCAAGATATGTGCAAATCAGGATTTTGAGCCAATAATTTGGCATCAAAAAGCATGATGACTTGATGCATGTACTTATAGATGATCTATGCTCTGAAATCCCAACTTCAACTCCTCATAAAAGTGTATGAGGAACATTCTTTAACAAACTCCAACAACAATTATACACTCCTGACATCTAGGTCAAATTACACGTCCTTTGGAAATCTTGAGATTCATACACTCAGACAACCACTCTTTTTTTGAAAAATTAAATTCACAAATATTTGTCCAAAAATTCATACCTCCCACTTTAATGGGCTTTGGCGGGGTTTGCCTAGGTCACAAAAACCTTAATTAACAGAAGAGCCGCTACATTTGCCAGACACGGGCGCGCACTTGTCAACATGGCTGCCCAAGGCTGCCGGCACCTGGGCAGCCCGACCCGAGGAAGCCGGTCCAGGCCAGTCAGCTCGGGGCAAACACGGCTTCAAGCTTCCGGAATCCGCAGGTGGGTTTCCAAAAATTTTCCTTCAGGCACACTTTCTTCGTATACAACATCCAATGCAGTCGGAAACTTCTCAACAACAGGACGAAGTTGAAGATCCAGCTTCAATTCGTCCTCTTAATAGGACCTCTTCAATAAACTCACTTCAATCAAGTTCCGTTGGATCTCGAACACCTTTTATACCGTTCAGCACTTCGTTCAGTCTTGATGGAATCCCTATTCCATCACCTATTCCTTCCTTAGACGAACACGGATTGGGTTGGCCGGGAAAGGGAACACTCGCCAGATTAGCTGAAAAGCGTTCCAACCAATCTCGATCTCTTGCACCCGAAGCTCTGGTTCAATCTCATCAAGTTCCCAGCGACATCCTCGAGACTTCGGAACAGGCGCGGTCGTCAGATCGCGTCACATCATTGACCAACCCATCTGGGTTAGGATCTTCCTCTGAAGCGCAATCTGCCGGTGATGCAACTGAGTTGAGCCGTGTCACTCGGTTAGCCTCAGCTGTCAGGGAGATTCTGGATTGTATTGGAGAAGATCCTGAGCGTGAAGGCCTTCTCAAGACACCCGAACGATATGCAAAAGCTTTGTTATGGATGACGAAGGGATATGAAGACAAACTTCCAGACGTGATTGGTTCAGCTGTGTTTAATGAAGATCACGAAGAGATGGTCATAGTAAAGGATATCGAAGTTTTTAGTTTATGTGAACATCACCTAGTACCTTTCACCGGAAAAGTTTCAATCGGATACATTCCTAATCAGAAAGTTTTAGGATTAAGCAAATTGGCTCGAATCGCGGAAACTTTCAGTCGACGGTTACAAGTTCAAGAACGACTTACTAAACAGATTGCTGTCACTGTTCAAGAAGCTATACAACCTTTAGGAGTTGCTGTCGTAATGGAATGTACCCATATGTGTATGACCATGAGAGGAGTACAGAAACCAGGTGCTTTGACTGTGACGAGTTCTATGCTTGGCTGCTTTCGCACAAAGGACAGGACTCGAGCCGAGTTTCTCAATCTGATCAAGGTGATTGATTTCATTTGTTTTAGGTAGGTTACATCCGTATGAAACGCTAACTCTTTAATCAATTGTTTTCGCATATAGAAGTAAATCGTTCAGTATAGTCTTGCGCCGGCTTATCACATCGCTTTCAATGCCTTCTTTTTCCTCTAAACTCAGTAAAAGAAGCTTTATCAAAGTGTGTTTTACCAGTCTCGCCTCCCTTTGTGTCAGCAAGCATCATTCTACCACCATTCAACAGTAATCTCATTCATTAAGCGTCACCCTCCGTCCTTGTAGATATTTAGCATGCTGTCAGATCATCATCACTCTTTGGAAAGCATTGTACACCTTGGCCCAGTGTGAATATCTAGTATGTCTTGATTCTACAAAAGTTTTATATTGTATTGTTTAACATTTGTTCATTATGTGTTTGGTGCAACTAACTAGAAATGTAACCTACATTTACAGACCATTGAATGTGTTTTCCTTATGTTCTTTCTTTGTTGTTCAGAAGAGCGTTTCTTCACATTCTTAACTATTTACTATTTTACACTCTTTTTTGGGAAATTTAGACATGTCAGGCTTAAGTTGTTTATGTGCGCCCGCATCAACAAAATAGTTGAGTCTTGAAATTTCAGAAGAAAATTTCGCAGTTCCAGAACGTCGGGTCCATCCTCAAAAGTCTCTTACAATCAGGAGATTCTCTTATGACTGTGTGTTCACCGTTCACAGTCCCCCTTGTTTGAGAAAGATCATGTCACGTTGGCCAAATATACACATGATCCCTGTACAGATGTTTTAGGTGAAGTGAATCACATATTGCCAGATACAATTCATCCCGAAATGAGAGTTCACATAAACAGAGAATCAAGTCCAGCTTTTAGTCGTCCAAGTCCTCAATTCTACCGGACTCTGCTGAAATTGAGCCTCAAATAGAGTTGGCTTTTATAACATTCACGTCCTTTGAAGACCTAGATGAAACACTATCCCACCATGCTCTTGGTTCAACCCAACCTTTTCCCCCAGCAGCTGCCAACTTGATGCTCTTAATCGCAAGAACATCACCTGATTCGTTCCATAGACGCATCCCAATCAAGTTTGTCTTCTTATCAAAAAGAATTGTACCTGGTTCACTATTTTGTAAGTTTAACTGAATGTGTTGGGATAGGTGAGCAAGGAAATCGGGTATCACAAAGTATAAGTTTGAATTTATTCGTATGTTGAGAGGATACTGCAAGAATAGTTCAAATCATCATCAATAGGTTTTTTGTTCAAAATGTTATCAATAAGTATTCTTGTGTTGATGTTCCAAATGTTTCTTGGATATCAAACTTTCCAAGAAAGTGTATTCTCTCACCTGGTGACCCATACCCAAATACCGAGACTTTACTTTTGACAAATCCCAGTCTGATCCAATTGCCAAATCTGTTTGTAAGATTTTACGAGCTTTTGTTGCGTTTCTTGAATCTTGTTTTTCGGAAGTTTTCTACCATCACGATGAGTGGAAAGATGAAGTGAGAGATGATTGACAAGTGCGAAATGGAGTAGAGTACTTACAATAAGGAAAGGCAAGTTTTGTAAAACTTTACACATCAAACTTCCTCCTATACGCCCTAAGAAGCTTTCCGCTAAAGCGTAAGCCGTGTTTGGTGGGAGTGGCTAGTGATTGGATTGTGATTAGATATCAGTGACCAAAAAGATCTTGAAAATCACTTACAGCAGATTGCTGAGCAAGGATATCTCCCAAGTCAAACCCATCCGGGCTCAAGTCTTGGATTGTAACGCCTACTGGGTTGATTTGATTCGCCAATTGCCACTGAATTGGAGCTGGACCACGATACAACGGAAGATGAGATGGATGTATATTCAAGCAATGTGAAGCTGGAAATTGCTTAATTAGGCTCTTGGGTATAAAGTACGGGAATGAGGCAGTGATCAAGATGCGATTGGTATGATCGGATTGTTCCGTAAATTTTTGAGGTAGCTATACTGTCGTTCGTAACATTCAGTGACATGCCACTCTGAATGATCGGCCAATTTGAAGGACGTACATCCCAATTCTGGAGAGGGTTTGAATTCTCTGGGCCGACGCGTGATAAGGCCTCAGAGCTAATGTTCAACTGCTGAGCCAAATCTAATAGGGGAGCTGGTATAACAAACTCATGTCAACGAACGGCTGAACGCCACTTGACGAGCTGATTTTGTCTACTTGCGCACCACGATAAACATTTTTTAAACCTCGTCCTTTCCGAGCGATAGGAGGGGTAACCACGTGAAGTTCATCCCACAGTTCTTTTTGACAAAGATATTCAAAAACAATACACAGGTATCTTAAGATTTAGGATGAAGTGATTATATTAGGCTTTCAGAACAGACCTCGTCGTGCGATGATTTCCTTCAGAACCACGCATGAGAATGAGTCTGAGCCGAAGAAGATGAGCTGTGGACGCGTGCTTTTGAATCGGCGTTGGGCACTGTGAGGCGGTAGTGGAGTGTGGAGATACCGCCCAGAGATAGCCTCACAGAGATGGGTTGAAGTCCTGAGAGTGAGACTTGAATAGAACATGGCAATCAACGATAATGGAATGTGAGGAATATTTTATGGATGCTGGGAGATTTGAAGCAGGAACTAAAAGTGATTACATACGTAGCAGTGCACATGTAACCATTTTGTTATGGTTTGCTCAACCCAATCGGATGTTTCATGATTCTTTCACTTTCACCATCACCATCACCACAATCTCAAGCTGAAGATGGTAAACAACCCATCTCATGAAGAACTGGCTACTATCTTAAGTCAAACACTATCAAATGATAATCAACTCAGGTCAAATGCTGAATCAAGACTCGGTGCCTTACCTCAAGAAGTCCCTAGTAAGTCTGATGAATTGTTCATCATTTGTTTCCTGTTTTCAAAGCATTTCGATCATTTAACTAACATCTTCTCATTGTTTGTGATACAAAGCATTTGGAATCATCTTAGCTGAACTCATCACCAACGAATCTTATGACATTGCGCTTCGTCAAGCGGCCAGTACAAATTTGCGAAGATATGTCCTACACCATTGGAGTCCGTTCTTTGCGTCGTTTGTTGGTTTTGCTCCGTCAGTTGAAGTCAGTTGAAGTGTCATTATTTCATCAAAGCTTGAAGCCTAAAATTGATGGTCTGCCTCATTACCAACCGATCTTGATTTTGATTAGATAAAATGTCGAATTCGCGAAATAATGTCACAAACTTTGGGATGTGCTACTAGAAAGTTACGCTCCACTTGCGTTAGTTTTACCTTTTATTCAGTCATCTTGATTACAGTTATGATGAGCTAGCCTGATTGAATACCAAATAGGCCCTTGTCATCTCCGAAATCGCGCATTGTGATTGGCCAGAAGAATGGCCAGAACTCGTTCCAATGCTCATCGCGACCATCAACAATCCCGATAAATCAGACGCCACGAGATACTTCAAGGATGGCGCTTTACGTGTCTTATGCGAGTTGGTTAGGAACGATTTAACCGAGCAACAACTCATTCCGATCGCAAAGGACCTCTTACCATGCCTGTTTTCGGTGATCTCAGCTCCACATGACGATTCAATCTCAGATGCTGCTATGAAAATCAGAAGTATATCAATTTTCCGACAATGTCTGATCACATTGACTTTGGTGAAATCGTCCTATCCAGACTTAACATCGTCTATCACTATGGAACTACTACCCAATTGGTTACACCTCTTCAAACTTCTCTTGACCACTGATGCTCAAGCGCTTCAAGCCATGGTCGATCGTAATGAACTTCATTTGGTCCAAAATCTAGTGGGAATCAAGTGCGAAGTGATGAGAACTTTGGATGTAATCCTAAATGGCTTCTATAACTCATTTCGACAAGCCGAATTACTCAGGAATGACTCTCTGAGTGTTTTTGTGGAATTAGGTTTCTCAACTCTCAACTTATTTTTTCCAATCTATCAGAAAGCTGTTCTTGCCCTTGAGGAATCACCAGCCTGGATGCTCGCTGATGGTGGTAGTACCGAACAACAAGAAGACCCAATCTTTCAATCTAATACCATTCTTCGTTTACCAGCAACAGTCATCAATTTTCTTAAAAACGTACTTTCCAAGCCGATTTCGAAAAAGCTATTTCTTAATTCAAACTCGCCTACCTCACCTGATAATTTGTCACCCACTCCTGCTCTTGAGATCCTTGTTGGATTCATCTTTCAATACGGTCAAATCACTCGAGATGAGGAGGAAGGTTGGAAGGCTGATGAGAATACATTTGTGATCGAGTATCTTGATGAGGACGAAGACAATGCTGTCCAGCTTGGTGGAACTAATAGACAGGCAGTTGTTGACTTATTGGAGGTAAGTTGAGTTTAAATCTTATTATCCCAAGCAAAGGACTAAAACTCAGTCAACTCTTTGTATATGATGAACTTGACCAGACCTTGATCGATGTTCTCGGCCAACCTACTGTTACGGCTGTCATGAAACATCTTCCTGAAATGACAAACCAAGCTTCACAAATGAAGTCACAAGGGATTTCGCATTGGTAAGTACTTCATAGCTCTGGAATGTTGGACCACGACTTGGATTAATTCGTAACCGACTTTGAACCAGGTGGAAGTTGATAGAGTCGGCTCTCACGGTCATTGGAAACCTGTCTGGGGAGTTTCAAGGCGAAGGGAGTGTTCATTATAACATCAACGAGTTTGTTGAACGAGAAGTTTTAAATCTTTTGACTGGGGGTAGTGAGTAAAGCCAAGGTTTTTTTCCAAAAGGACCGGCGATAGTGACCTTGCATATTGCTCCCTTGACTATCAGGCCAACCTTTGCTACAAGGTCGAGGCTTTGTCTTCATCAGTCAATTCACTAAACATCTTACCCAGGATAAGTTGCAACAAGTCATGTTATATTGCTCTAACCTGTTTGCCTCGGGTGATGCATCCAACAATGCCGATTCTGATTCCGGATGCACGATTACCACATTATGTTTGATCAAAGCTTTAAGAAAGTATGTGTATTGTGCACGATCAGAACTGTTCTCGGACGTGAACATACCTATAAATTAAGCTCATGCCTTGATTCATCTTTTCATTTTTGGGTGAACCTATTGGGTAGCTTTGCTCGTTACTCTCCATCCCTTCTCAAGCCCTACAGCTATGCAATCCTCGACAAACTTCTCCGAATTCTACCCGATGCTGTTGATGCAATCTCCATCACGGTCATTGAAACTATCCATCGGGTCTGTGAACCTGTGTTGGACGAGCTAGAAGCCGAAGCGCTTTATAAACTCGCAGATTGTGTCCTGCAGCATCTTTCCCGAAATGTTTCTGGTGAGTTGATTGTCCACTAAATTCATGCGGAATCTCCTGAGTCCATTGTTGATGAGTGCCTTCTTATGTGCGGATTCTATTTCAAGATCATCTTTTGGTCGATGCTGTGACGGATTTATTTACGATGTTATCCACGTCTTCCTCACCGCTTGTAATGCAAGCCTTAACACAGCGTGTTTTACCTCAACTAGGGAAAGCTCTCACCATCACTGAAGTTGAATCTCCAAAGGATCACTTTGTCATCAAAGCTTCATCTGTTGCTGTGATCGACGGGGTATTCAAAGGCAAACTGATGCCACTAAGCCCCGGGATGTTTGAAGCGGTAGCACCCGGGTTATTTGTAACACTGGCTTCCTCCGAAGATCCAGACCTGATTCAGGTTTGTCAAGGTTTTCCTCTCATGATCACATATCAAGTTTGTGTGCAGAAAGTTGCAAAAACATTATGACTCATTGAATGCGAACTTTTATAGGACTGTTTAAACATTCTCACCTCGGTCGTTCGAAAAGGAACTGATCAACTGATTAACTGGTGGGCCTAACACTTACTTCCAATGCGACTTAACACAGCCAGGCTTACATGATCTTTCGATACCACCTTGGCTTATAGGAAGAGTCATATTGATCAAAAAAGCGGTATAGATCATCTCGTCAGTTCTTTAGCTCACGTTCTAGACCCACAACGAGCAGAATCAGCAGGGCTCTTCGTGGGCGATTTGATCTTACATCTCCTGCGAAAGTCGATGGACTCGATTGTTGGTGTACTACCTGATCTGTTGAAAACACTGGCTAGCCGACTAGCCACTGCTCGTACAGCAACTTTTAGTCAGGTGAGCGTATAACCTGAAAGTGAAAACCAACGCAAGTACTGATTTTTTTCTAGAGCATGATTTTACCCTTTGCCTATCTTTTACATCAACATGCCGATACGGTACTCGACTTGTTAGAATCATTCCATGTCACTGGTATCAACGGCCAACAGCAATTGGCACTCCAACTTGTCTTATCGACCTGGTGTGAAAATGCAGACACATTCCAGGGATACTGGAATATTCGAGTCAGGTGTGTAATCAGTTCTGTCTGACTTTGCCTTTATTGAAGACGCAGCTAAATATTCATGACACGATTTGATAAATTGCGCGTGAAAAAAGTACGGTGGCTTTATCACAACTTTACGCATGTACACGACCCAGTTTGGAACAGATTACAGTCAAAGGTGATTTAATCATAACTGATAAAAATGTCCATACCATCATGACGCGGGCAAGAGCCAAGGCTAGTGAGTACCATGTGGTATAGAAAGGAGTGGAATGCCAACACATACCCATTTGATCTCGTGATAACAACTCAATCACCTGTTATGAATGAAATTTCTTGACGAGAGATGGCTCTTTAATATCATGTAGATCCCGATCAATTTCAAGCCATCCCACTTCGAGCCAAAATCTTGAAGATTCTTGTTGGTGAACTCCAAAGTCAGTTGAGCGAGCAAGCTAAGATTGGAATAGGAAACGACGAACTAGAAGGATTAGATGATGATGATGAAGTGAGTGTTCACGTTTCTTGTCGATCTATGACGATGAATCATATTGAGTTATTCTGCTGCAGGACGAGGATTGGGAAGACGATGTCGTTGATCTCTCGTCTAAAAGCAAACGAGAAATCTTACAACTCTCTGGTACGATTTTTTCTCTGAGATTTATTAAGTTTGAATATATAAAGCTGACCTCTATAACCTTATGTTCAATTCAGATATGCTGGGACCGTCCGCTAGTTATATCTTAACAGATGATGATGATAATGATAAGGATGTTGAAGACGAAGCTGACTTGAAAGAAGATCCATTTTATAATCTAGACTTACTCAAGCATCTTCAAGACTTCATTCAACATATTTGTCAACAAGATGTTGAAGGTTTTAAACAACTCTCAAGTCAATGGCTCAGTGCTCAAGAACTCTTGGTTGTTCAGACAATCTTATGATGAGAAGTGTGATGCAGCTTATTGTTTATATGAATCGGGATTGTCCCACTTATCTTTACTTGTCACTCACGATCAGCATTCTTTCGGAGCAATTCCCTTCTTAGTTCCTTTCAACTCTCCATTGTTGACCACTCGCATCTTTAATTCTTCTCAAAATTAGGGTACTTGCGTGCAGTCTAAACAGCACTCTGTGCAGGCTTTAGATTCTTCAAGATACTTGTTTTCTTCTTGTATCTATCTGAGTCTCACCCATCTCTTCAAGCATGGTAATAATGATAGAATTTATAAATTTCTTTCAAACTGGATAAACGTTTGATTTATCCTTCTCACATAGTCTTTACTATGTAAAAGAAAATAGAGCAAAGATTTACTTTGAAAGCTAGATAAAAGGGGACCCATTCTTACAGATTCTGGGTATGAATGGTATTCCTGATTTCACGCATCGATGTAGAGGTCCACGAACTTCTAGTACATGTGTTTATAAGAGCCTGGTAGTCCGTATCTACCTTGGGTAAAGAAATTAATGAGACAGGCTACGTGCAGGTCGTGGAAGCTCCGTGTGCGGGCTTCAGGACTGTTAGTCGAATGTCACAAACGAGATCTTCGAGAATCTGTCAACAGCGTTCTCGGAGTGGAAGCGTTTTAATAGAAATGTAATGAATATTATTGATGCTGATTGAGAGAGAAGGAAAAACAACAATCATTTGGATTATATACAAATGGAACGGTCTGAACATTGGATGAGTAAGAATACAAGAAGTGTTCGTAGAAAGGAAATGAGAACATGCTTAGAGTCTTCAGAGTGAAGCTCAGCATGATGGTCTGAATACTTATGGCCACTAAGTGTCGAGTACGATTCGAGATACAAGTGTTGTATCAACATCCCCCCTTGCTCGATACTTTCGTGGGTTTCGGAAGTAGATGTGTGGTAATGTTGTGAGTCTCGTTTGAGCTTATGTTTCCGATTAAAAACCGACACCTGTTCAACATATCTTTTGGAGCATTCTTTGTGAGAAAGTCGGCAGGCATCGTTTTGGTATCAATCATGTGCGTAGAAATTTGATGTGAGTTTATAAGATCTCGGATGAAATGATGCCTTATGTCGATGTGTTTTGAGCGTGAGTTAGTTGCAGATTCTTGTGAGAGGAAAACAGCTCCGTTATTGTCATTGAAAATACTGAGTGGAGGTAAAGAGATGGGAGATGTTGGTATAGGTGTCTGAGTGAGATGGGAAATCATTCGTCGGAACCATAGGCAGTGCTTTGCACAGTCACCGAGGGCCATATATTCGGCTTCAGTGGTGGATAAAGCTACTGTTGGTTGTCGCCGACTTTTCCATGATACAAGGGATCCTCCTAGGGTGAAAACATATCCGGTTGTGGATCTTCGAGTTTCTGTACATGCAGCATAGTCTGCATCAGCGTATGCACGTAACTCGGTGGAAGGAACTTCGTGGTTTTTGAAAAGTATCCCTCTGTCGAGGGTTCCTTGTACGTATCGTAGGAGGTGTTTGAGTACTTTCCAATGGCGGAGAGTGTATTTTGAAGAGTATCTTGCAAGAGTTGATACTGCATATTGAATGTCGGGACGAGTATGCACAGCTGCCCAGTTCAGACATCCGATGGCTTGTTGGTAGGGTAGGTGGGCAGCGTCAGTGATTTCTTCATCGGTTCCTGGAGTTAGTTCGACGGAGGTGGGAAAAGGTGTGGGAGCGGTGTTGCAGTGCGTCATGTCAAAGCGGTCGAGAACGTTCTTTAAGTAGTGTTCTTGTGATAAGTGGATTGTTCTGTTTTTGCAATCTCGAGTGATTTTGATTCCTAAATGTAGGGTGAATTCATCTGTCCATACAAGGTCGTATAATTGGTGCAGTTTTTCTTTTACCTCTTTCAGTAGGGGTTTGGAGTTTGAGAAGGTGAGTCCATCATCTACATGCATCGGGATGTGAACAAGTTCTTTTTCTCGTCGAAGAGTGAATAGGGAATTGTCATCCTTTGACGGTGTAAATCCTATGCTGCGTAGTTTTGATTCCAGGTCTGTGTTGAATTCCCTGTGGGCTTGTCGAGTTCCATAGATCGATTGTCGGAGTAGCCATACTTTCTTAGGGTCCTTGGGGTTGTAGAAACCTTGAACTTGTCGAGTGTATACTGGCATATGCATCTTTCCTTTTAGGAAAGCGGTGGCGATATCAAATTGTTCCATTTCCCAATCTTCAGATGCACATAGGGAGAAGAGCATATTCATAGTGTCGGATTGCACAACTGATGCGTAAGTTTTGTCGAAATCTACTCCCCAAATCTGATGGTTTCCTAAGGCGACCCATCTAGCTTTGTACTTGATGATATTTCCGTGTTCGTCTCGCTTTCTTTTGAAACGCCACATACCGCCGATGATATTGGCTTCTGGTGGTGCGTCGACTAGTTCACCTACGTTATGTGAAGTCAAAGAGTTAAATTCTTTTTCCATTGCTTGGAGCCAGTGTCTCGCTCTTTTCCGCGCATGGCTTCGGTGTAAGTGGGACAGTCGTCACTTTTCTTTGCAGCGTATAATGTGAGATTACCGTATCTTACAGGTGGTTTACGATCTCGAATTGGTCGTTGGGATATAGTGGTTGAGTTCTGTATTGGGATTGGTTGTCGATTCGGGATTGGAGGTTCAGGATGAGGTAAGGGTTCGTTTTTGTCTTTTGGATATTCGCTGTTGTTTTCCTTGGTGATTGAATCTGATGTGTTCTTTTGATGGTTGTCTTCTTCTCTCGATTTTTCTGTTGCTTTCAGACTTTCTAAGTCAGTTTTCATTTGTTTGGTGATTTTAATTTTAATTTTGAGATTATTTTCCTTTTCTTTTGTATTGTTTTCGTGATTTTCTTTCATTTGTTTTGATTCTTTATCTTTTAATTCTTTTAATTCTTTCTCTTGAAGTTGTTTTTCTTTTAGTTCTTTTTCTTTCAGGTCTTTCAGTTCTTTTAATTCCTTTTCTTTTAATTCTTTTTCTTTCAGTTCTTTTAGTTGTTTTTCTTTTGATTCTTTCCGTTGATTTTCTTTCAATTCTTTCAGTTCTTTTTCTTTTATCTCTTTTAATTCTTTTTCTTTTAGTTGTTTCAGTTCTTGTTCTTTCAATTCTTTTTCTTTCAGTTCTTTCAGTTGTTTTTCTTTTGATTCTTTTAGTTGATTTTCTTTCAATTCTTTCAATTCTTTTTCTTTTATCTCTTTTAATTCTTTTTCTTTTAGTTGTTTCAGTTCTTGTTCTTTCAATTCTTTTAGTTCTTTTTCTTTTAATTCTTTCATTTCTTTCTCTTTTAATTCTTTTTCTTGTGATTCTTTCTTTTTGTTAATGTTGTGTGGTGCGTGTATTGAATGATGGAGGGGTATAATTTCTTTGGGTGTAAATTCTATTGGAGATATGTTGTGTGAGATTAAATCTGAAGCTTTGTCAGAAAGCGAGAATTCAGAGAAATTAGGGGATATTGGCGATAGTTGTTGTGGAGTTAAAAATGGTGATGAAGACTGAGATAGGGATTCTTGTTGGCCACGTGGTTGTGATTGAAAATGGGAGAAGGGTCTTTGAGCTGATTGTGGGTTTGAAGTTGCCAAGTGTGTGGTGTTTTCTTGAGTTGTTGAGTTATTTGATGTAGTGTTAAATGGTATCTGAGCTGTTTCACTGTTAATTTTGTTTGCTTCAAGCATGGTTTCATTGAATGGGAAGAATTCATCATCAGTAATAAAAGATTGTTCATCGTTGTTTTTGTTTTTAAAAGGAAACAGTCTTTCGTTGAAAAACACATTACGAGAGATGATAATCTTTTTGGTTGTTAAGTCCCACAGACGATACGCCCTTGCACCTTTTTCATATCCTACATGAACACACAGACGTGATTTTGCAGAAAGTTTGTTGAGTTCGGTTGACTTCAGGAGTGGATATGCGGCACAGCCTAGAACACGAAGAAATTTTGTATTTGGTGGATGAGCTCCTGCGATATCAGCATTCCATAGTACAAGTGGAGTTTCCATATCAATTGAGGCATTAGGAGATATGTTAAGCAGGTAGGAAGTTGCCATCATGATTTCTCCCCACAGGAATTTTGGGATATTTCCTTCAATCATGGTGGAACGAGTTCGCTCAAGGATGGATCGGTTAAAACGTTCAGAGACTGAGTTTTGTTCGGGTGTTTCAGCTGGAGCACGCTCAAAGGTTATACCTTTTTGTGACAAGAATTCTGTGAATTGGTTGGAGGTGTATTCACCTCCTCGATCTGATTTGAATATCGCTATTTTCTTATTTTGATAACGTTCAACTTCAGTGATGTATTGCACAAAAAATGAGAAAACTTGAGATTTTGTTCGCATGATCCTAATACAATTGTATCTTGTAGCGTCATCTATGAAAGAAACAACATATTTTCCTCCTCCCAAGGATGCAGTGGGCATTGGTCCTAAAACGTCGCTATGTATACGGAATAAAGGGACATCAGATTTGGGAAAGTGGGAAGAAAAAGGTAATCGATAGGCTTTTGACAAAGTACATGGTTCACAGTCCAATTTGCTTGTGGATGTTGGTGATACTTTAGAAAGGGATCTGTAGTTAAGGTGACCAAATCGACGGTGCCAGATGTCAGCGGGAATAGATGCAGGAGCGGCAAAAAGAGCAGACGACAGACGTGCCTGTGTTAGAAACAGTCCGTCAGATCCTTTGCCAGTGATGATATAGTCTTGAAGTTCGTTTTCTAATATGATGTTGGTTTGATTGCTGGTAAGGTTTGCACCTTCACGAAGCATAGCCGAGACGGATATTATGTTGACTCCTGCTTCGGGGATTAAAAGTACATCCTCAAGAGCAATCAATCTATTTTCGCCGGTATGAGTTTTTCCGTGAATGTACGCAGTTCCAGAGAGTTTTGCAGTGATTCTTCCATTTTGTCCCCCTATTCCAGAAATGTTAACGGGTTGTATGGTATGAATGTTAGATAAAAGTTTTGCACTGCTGGCTATGTGGGTATTTGCACCACTGTCGATAAGAAACTGATCTTTTTGAGTGATGTGAGTTGTTGCGTTGAAAGCGGAGTACGTGATGAAATCGTTGCTTGAGTCATTCTCAACTGCTACATGTACAGATGCGGAATTGGTGTTGATTGATTTGGCCATCATAGCTTGGTACCGTTTTGCCATTTCTTCAACGGACAGTGAGCTAGAGTCTTTGTTTTCATTTTTCTTTTGAGTGTGACATTGTTCATTGGTGTGCTTTGAATTCGGGTGAATATGACATAGATCCTTCGGCGATTTTCCAACTTTTCTGTTATCAATTCTCGTAGGTCGTTTTGATTTGGTGTAATAGACTTCTTTGAATTTTTCTTCGCTGTTGGTGTTTGAACTGGCTTCGAGTCGGAGTCGAGCACATACGTCGCTTGTGGAGATTGTCTTGATGTTTGACAAGAAATGTTGGATTATGAGGCCGAATTCATTTCGAGGCAAGCTGTTGACTAAAAGTATAGCATAAATCCTGTCTGATAATTGAAGGTCCTTATCTCCAGCTGTCATATCACGAATCTTGCTGTGCAGATCTTGGACTTTTGCAATGTAGTTTGTGATACCGATCGAGTGGTCATATTTTAAGCTGAAAAGTTCGGTTAGAGTATTTGCAGTTGTTATGCCGTTGTCAGAGCCGTGTTGAGAAACAAGAGTTTCGAAAGCCTTTTTAGGATCTTCGATAGATTCGATGGATGCCAAGTTTGCTGAATCAATAGAGTTGCGTATTGCGTATAAAGCTGCTGCTTGTCGCATGTCGAATCGAGATTTTTCTTGAACTTCAGACGGTCGTTTGATTTCTTCTTTGATGAAGTCGTATAGTCCGTTCATTTTAAGATAGATCTTCACTTCAGTTTTCCATGCGTAGATATTTCCCGTGGTTAGTTTAGGGATAGAGGCAACTGCAGAGGTGCTGAAATGGGTATTTCCTGAACTTGGATTGGACATATTGTATTTGATTTGGGGTTCGGATGGTTTGGTGTCGTGATCTTTCGACATGGAGGAAGAAAAACGATTATAGAGAGATAGAATTAATTGATAGTACCTTTGATGGACAAAGGGTTTGTATTATGTAAATATATAGTACGCGTCTAGAGCGCTGGGCTCATAACCTAATGAGACAGGCTACGTGCAGGTCGTGGAAGCTCCGTGTGCGGGCTTCAGGACTGTTAGTCGAATGTCACAAACGAGATCTTCGAGAATCTGTCAACAGCGTTCTCGGAGTGGAAGCGTTTTAATAGAAATGTAATGAATATTATTGATGCTGATTGAGAGAGAAGGAAAAACAACAATCATTTGGATTATATACAAATGGAACGGTCTGAACATTGGATGAGTAAGAATACAAGAAGTGTTCGTAGAAAGGAAATGAGAACATGCTTAGAGTCTTCAGAGTGAAGCTCAGCATGATGGTCTGAATACTTATGGCCACTAAGTGTCGAGTACGATTCGAGATACAAGTGTTGTATCAACAGAAATGTACACTATCTTTTGGCAAACCTCAAGAGATCAAGAGTGTAGTGGTCCCTAGCGGTGAAATGGGTTTCATCATGTGTTTTTAGACAATAAATTTCAAAGTTCTTACCGTCTAAATTGAGGTTTCTACTTCTCAAGATTCGAGTCTCAATACTACAATTTTTCAGCATGGTTTAAGTTATGAAACTGGTTTTGCTACTACCCAGCGCTGCTGTTGTTCCCCCACTAGCAATTTTCAGCAAGTACAATGCTGAATTTCGTCTGAAGATCCAGTTCCTCTTCAATCCCAAAGAGCAAGAGACTTTGTTAAGTTTGTCTCATTCCAGAATGTCATTTGAAAGTTTTATCAGGGTGGTTTGTTTTTATTTTAAAGTCATCAATTGAACCATCACATCAAATATCAATCAATAGATGTGAATGATCCGTAACCAAAATTTTACTACCACAGGCCTCAAGACTCAGATGTCACCTGCTCGCAATACCATATATTCATTTTGATGTCACTTCATCTCGGTGAAATGATGTATTGTCTACGATCTCAATCACCTGTGCCTCAACAAACTCACGGGGTAGAATAAGATTCACAACCTCTGATCTGTCAGGCTCTGTCATATGCAAATTTGATAAAAGGTAAATTCAAGCTTCCTAGGTAGTACCCCCAAGCACAATATAGATCACATCATCGCACAAATTATTTGATGTCCATTTCTCTTCTTCATGTATTAGTCAATCTATAATCCCCAATTGTCAATCAAATTTCTTTAAAGGAGTACTTCATTCGCAGAAGACCTAGTGAGAGATTTATGAGGAAGCACAATACAGTTTCGTACATGTACTTCACTCTTCACTTGTACATCTTTAGCTGGATACGAGTCAAGAAGTCAGTTGGTGTGAAATAATAGAGAGTAAGTCAAATTTCTCTTACCTAATACCGAGATGTTCTTATTACCGATATAACCATCGGCTGGGAGTGGAGATCCTTCAACTCTAGACCAAGCACCAACTCTGTTGTCTTCACCGAGAATTGAATACAATACACAACAGTTTTGCTACAAGTACAAAAGCGTCGATATATGTAAGAGATAGCTCCGAATGCAATGACGCTTGAACATAAACTATATCAAAGGAGAGGAGTGACTTACTTCAAGAACGGTGTTGTCTAAGATGATAGAATCCTTAACTCGAGCACCAAAGCCAATCTTTACACCAGCACCAATAGACACATTAGGTCCGATCTTAGCGGATGGGTGAATCTCAGCTGTCTCATCTATGTAACAAGGCTCTACAATTTCCGGCCCAGCAGCCTTGCTTTGCTCTGGTGTAGCTTTGGCAGCTATGATGGTTGGAGATCGACGACGAAGGAGTACAGGATTATTAGATTTGTAGGATTCCAATACAAGCGCATTGGCTGGTAAGGCGGATCTGCGAACAGAAAAAAAAATCTTGTCAGCAATTAATCGATTTCCCAGATGATCTGTGCACATAAATCCTTACCCAGCTGTTTTAATCTGTTTCCATTGAGTCTTGGTCTCATAAACATAGAGCTTGCCTCGGTCAGAGAGTGGTGCAATGACGTCTTGCTCGAGACGGAGTTGATCGTCCTGTGGCCTGAGGGGATCTTCGCTAAAGGGTTATAAGATATTACATCAGATCTGCAATGTCGTCTGATGAAGCTTATCAGAAAAAAACTTACGCATTCTTTTTGACCTTCAAATCCATAGCAGCCTTAATCTCATCAAAGATCGACTTATCAAAAAGATAAACACCTGTATTGATAGTAGTAGATAAGAATGATTCCGGTTTTTCTACATAATGAAGTGCTTGAGAAGTTTCTGGGTCGGTAACGATACTTCCAAACTTCGTTGACATTTCCTTAGAGACCTTAATTCCCATTAAAGTACCGACCCCTCGATGACGATCATGAAAGCTTTTCAATTCTGAAAGTGGGAATGAGGAGACAATATCGGAATGTAATACATAGATTTGATCTGGAGAACCTTTGAGGATCGCATCTCTAAAGTGATAAAGTCCTCCAGCAGTTCCTAAAGCTTCATACTCTCTCATATATCTACAGTTTTCCGGAGAATGAATGGACTTTAGTTTTCACTCTATAGAGGTCTCATCGTTTTGAGGAGTATGAAAAATCATATTCACCTAATCTGAAGCGAAGGGAAATCCCTACTTGCTTGTTTTACAAAAGGAGCCAAGACAGAATCTTCATAAAATCCAATCAAAAGAACCTCTTGTAAATTTGAAAGTTTCGAAAGGGCTTGTATACCATGCCAAATCACAGCTCTTCCTGCCAATGGAAACAATGGCTTTGGAATATCAAGTGTTAAGGGTCGCATACGAGTTCCCTGATTCAGGCAAGAAGTTAAAAGTTAGGACTATCGTAAGATGTATATGTGTGAGTCCAGATGCTTACTTTACTTGGCCCGCCAAGCAGGTAGACAGCTTTGGAAGACATTTTGAAGTTGATGAGATTTGGTATAAGGTATGGATGGCAGATGCTTGAGGTCCTTTGATGTTCGATCAGCTGGAATGTCTTGGGGAAATCAAGATCCTAGAAACCTGTAACAACAACCTAGGGTAAATATCACACTATAAGACTTATCTTACTGCTTTATAAACATACTCTCTCTCTCAGCTTGCTCACGGTCGTGCACTGGGCTCAGATAATATCGGCTGGAGGGTTCCGTCACCGTGATGTCCACATCTAGCACGCACACATAACTTTGAAGCCACTTGGAGAAGGCTCTATGTATGGATTCTTTCAAGAAAGAATTATGAAATCATGAAATCTTACAATCTGAAGCGGTATATGGTACTATGCATCCTTCATCAGATGCCGCACGGATCTAGTATATTTACTTTTCATGAACTGTCAGACCTTTTTCAACTCATCTTTCTTTTATCATCTTTCACATTTTCAGATTTTCAGTTTATTCTGTTCTATCACTAAAACTTCAAGCCACGAGAAATAATTATTACATTTTCTTCTTTTAAATTTTCTAGATATACTAAGTAAATAAATCTTAAAAACAAATATGCAATCAAGAAGAATAAAAGAAAGAAAAAAGTTGAAATGTGAAAGTGAAACGATTAAAAATCAATGTTTTTCGTAAATTAGTTCAAAACTTTACACACACATAAAGATATCTTCTCATTATTTTCATTATTTAGGTCTTCTTAAAGTTTTCATTTCATCTGCTATTCTTTCTTTTGTAGTACGAGTATCTAATTCATCTCCTTCTCTAGGTGCTGAGATTCGAGTGGGTTTCTAATGAAAGGAAAAACTCCAACAATTAATTAACCATATCAAATCCGTCAATTGGTGTTTAATTAAAAGGAAGGACTTACTTTTTGTTTGATGAACAGGTTGACTGGATTTTTCTTTGCAGGCATTGGTGCACGTGGAGGATTCATTGGTTTGTTGTGAGAAGATGAGCCTACATTAGGATGAGGATTCCGATTTACCGTAGTCTGTGGTTGACGTATCTGGTTCATCATTGGGTTTACTTGATTCGATTCTATCTTTGTTCTTGACTGATCAGGCTTTTCTACATCACTGTTCTGATTATCTGAATTATCAATCTCAATTATACGTGTCTTCTTAGAGATTTCAGGTAGACTTGAATTAAGAGATTGTTTCCGCTTGAGTTCATTTTGAATTTGATTTGAATGAGTGTTTGATTTGGATTGTTGCGAGATTTGTTGAGGTGTCATCAATGGACCATGTCCAAACCTATCAGATTTCTTCTCGATGCTTTTCTGAACGATGGACTTTGAAGGTAGATGGTTTTTGCTTGTATTTCGGATTGTAGGAGTAGAATTGAAAGTATCGATAGATACCTACGAGTTCACCAGGTGAACAAAATTAAACAGATCAGTTATAGTATATTCTAAAAATCAAAATCGAGATGTAAGATTGAAAATGAACCTCAGAAAACGTTCCTCTCTCTCTTGCATCATCAATCAATGCTTTCCAATTTTTATCCTGTACCAACGCCGATTGATTCCCAATCACAAATAAAGATGATTTCGCTCTGGTTAAAGCTACATTCATTCGACGTGTATCCTTTAAAAAACCAATCCCATTATCATCATCTTTTCCACCACGAACACAAGATAAGATAATTATATCTTTCTCTTGTCCTTGAAATCCATCAACTGTATTGATATCTAAAGTAGAAACTACATCAGCAGGAAAGGATTGACGAAATTGTCTTCGGATTTCTCCTACTTGACCTGCATAGGCCGTAATGATCCCAACTCGATATGCAAAATCGATATCAGGAAATGTCCTGGTCAACCTGGAATAAATGGCTACTGTCATGCCTGCTTCGGTTCGATTGATAAAAGAGTGATGTCGACCTCTCTCTTCACGAGCTCCAATGGGATGATAAAATGTATATGGTGGAAAAAACGTATCCTCGGTATGCCATCGTTGGGTAGTTCTACTCGCCATATCGGGTCCATCCATTAATCGCGAATCATAGAAGGCTTTACTGGGAAAAGCACTGATGGCAGGGTGCATACGATACTGTATACTGTGTTACAATTCGTCAGTGCACTTGACCAAAATGCTACTAAGCTGACCGTTCCCAACCTTAACAAATGTACCGCAGTAGGAGCAAAGCGCTGCATACGCACGAATAGACTTTGGTCGTATCCTGCTTTCGAAGCCGCTTGTGATAGTACAGTCGGTGGTAATTGAAGTGGATCTGTAACGTACATCTTTCAACAAGTAAATTCTACGTCAAGATAAAATATATGGTAAACACTCACCTCCAACCAATATACACTGAGTGGCATTGTACCGAAGTGGGATCAGAGAAGCTGGTTCAGTACACTGACAAGCTTCATCAATCACTACTGTTTCAAAATCGAATGGTAATTGTGACATATAATCATGACCTGAACCCGATAATGTTGAACAAATTACATCAGCATCTTGTAAGATTTGCATCCTCAATTTACGAGTGGCTGCGTCTAAATAACGCTTTGAGGCGGCTTGTTGATCACGAGCTTCGTCTAATTGTTGTGATAATTCGTGCATCTTACGTCTTGCTTTCGTAACTTCTTGTTGTAATCCAGCGTACAATGGAGAAGCTACTGTGACTTGCTCTGCTTCGATTTGTTTAGCATTTCGAATTTCCCGTAAATGAGTGATTTCTTGTCTCAATTCATGAATTCGATCGGAATTTCCAGAAGGCTTGTCTCCCGTTTTATTTTCCAATTTGTTTTGAGCTTCTACAAGTTCGTCAATGAAGATATCTTTTACCGCCATATTGATCTTAGAATCGGCTCCAATCCGCACTAGTTTAGGAATAATAAGTTCTCCTTGGGCTCCACGAACGCCATCTTTTAATCGTTTGGCTACTTCATCAACAGCAGCATTACTTGGTGCGCAGAGTAAAATTTTCCTAGTTATTGATCGAGTATCTTGAGCCTTTGGTCGACCGGCGATGAATGCACCGACCAAACCCACGATAGTACTCGTCTTTCCCGTACCCGGCGGACTGTAAGAAATCGATGAGATTTAGTCTTCCGATCAAGTGGTGGATTCACGAAACTGACCCTTGAATGAGAGAGAAGCCTGGTGTGGCTAGAGAGCTAATGATCGCACGACCTTGTGGTTCATTGACTTTCTGGCACTGCATTACTTTTGCGAGCTGTTGTTCTGTTATAGGTGCAGGTTGAGTGATACGGGCTTCTAGAATATCACCACCCAATGTTAGATACGGCAAAGATCTTAGGGCAGCCCATTCCCGATGTGTTGTGCTCAGACTTACGAAATATCCGCGAAACAAGGTCATAAGAAAATATTTCAAAATCTTGTGAATCATTGTAAATGTCATTTAAAAAACTTACCTGCATAGATGAATCACTTCCCATTTCGTCTTCGGTACCAAGAAACCACTAACTTCAGATCTTACACTACCAAAATGCATGCGCAAGTTAAGTTCGAAACATTCGGGTTTACGAGACAAGCCGATCACCTTGGCCATAACAGAATGAGAGGAAGGCTTATTGACGGCTCGAAGTAAAACTAAATCAGCTTCTGTGAAAAACACTCGATCTGGTAACATGCCATGTTTGATCATAGTATAAATTTCTACAAAATCGTCAACTGAAGTGCGACCAACTACTTCACAGGGAACTGCTGTCTTTTCACCTGAAGCAACCGCTTCCTTTGCTTGACAGATCTGCTGCCAACACTCGCACATCAGAAGTGGTTCGAGGGCTCGTAAGTACTGACCAAAGTCGATAAAAGAAGGTGGAAGATGGTTATAGTGAACAGGAGCCATGGGTGGACACGGGCCTGTATGATGATAGTCCCATTGCAATATATGTCGATGAAGGGCAGTGAAATCCGGTGACATCCTTAGTTGCTCCAACTTCATCTGAGCTTGCTTCAGTAATTTCGCTTTGGCCACTTGTTGGTGCCTTTCCAAGGTAGGATCTTGGAATAATTTGATAGTCCGGCGGACCTCAGCTATCCTGCGAGGCTTATCGATCTTAGGCTTCTGTGCATTTGCTAAGCCGGCCAAACCGGTCACGGCAGGTCTATCTTCGTCTGAACTCTCAGAATCTTCTTCATCCAAGCAGATCGGTGCGATGGGTAGATTGCCGCCTGGCGGCTGTTGAGTCGAATCTGCCGTGTCCCTGGACGCAAGAATGGGTCGAGAAGAAGATGCAACAGGTGAATAATCTGTTGTTGGCGAAGAAACTCGAGCACGACCAGCTGGTATACCACGCTCTGTTGACACTTTCAAAGGTTGTTTTACCACAGTGTGATTCAAGACCTTCCTGCTCGCTTTGAATTCTTTGCGCATATTGCCAATCACACTAGAAGTTGATCCGCCAGCGGTCCTTGAGTGTGATTTACTTGATGTGGATTTGTTCGTCCGGGAGGTAAAGTCATGCTTTATGGGAGGAGGTGCCGATTTTGAAGCGGGTTTCTGTGGCAGAGCTGAAGACACTGGAGGGACAACTACAGACTTCGGAATGCTAGCTTTGATCGGTTGTCCATCTAATACACGACTCCACGCTGCTTTTTGATTCGCGACTTCTCCATCGTCCCGAACGTTTGAGTCTTTGGAGCTGGTTTGAGGAACGATCTCGATTTCTTCTTCTTCATCTTCTGATACATAAGCAAACCGTTCAGCTAAATCTGGATGACTGATCAAGGCCTTTTGTATATTACCACACTGTTGTTCTGTCAGAATCACTCCGATAGGCTTTTTGCTTTGAAGTTGAGGTTGCCGATTATGTTGTAAGTATGTCTCTAATCTTTTCACAATCGTATCCTTGAGTGGTCGCCTAAACTTGGCTAGTTTTTCGAGCATCGTCACCAACAGGCTAGCTGAGCGATCGAGAAGGTCAGGTTCAGTTAACCGAAGCCAGGAAAGAATGGCTTCCGTAGGACGCATAAAGGAGTCCACCATCTGTTGTCTAACCGGGTCATCTGATGATTTCGAAGAGGGCAGACCACCCAAAGCAAGATCTTGATCAGCACAGGCTGTTTCGAAGGCGTGGAATTGTTGCACAAGTTGTTCGGCAAAGATGAGGGCATCTCTCATCCAATCAGTCATTTTAGAAGTTTCCCAAAATTTTGACCAATATGGTGTTCTCTGAAATATGTTGGCAACCGCTGAGCACATTAGATTCCAAAGCTGAAAGACTTGCTTTCCATTTATACTTTGCATGAAATCTGGATCCGAAAACAGACCTTCGGAACGTGAAAATAGTACTTCTAATACATCAGTCATACATCTGACAAATCTCCCGGCAAGGATCATTGCATCAGGTAAATACTTTGTTTGAAACTCGGTAGTAACTAGAGAAATCAATAGACCCTCGAAAGCAGCGAGCCTGCCTTTGGATAGCAATACTCGGAAGCAATCAAGTCGAGAAGTGCAATCGGACCATTGTCGAACCAAAGCTAGCGCTGAGGCATGTATACCGTCATTAGGTGATAATGCAAGGACGATCAAGGCCTGGATCACGCGTTGATCATCCATCACGGGTGCCACTAGTTGATAGCCGGTAGTCGTTTCGGATAGATCCAATAATGCATCTACAAAAGGTGTGCATATCGTCAAGCAACCGTCCTTTAGGTTCTCTGATACAGGCTTGATGGGCAGTAGTTCGTTTCGGGCTTCTGGTAACCACGATTCGTACTTGAACTGATCAATATGAGCGCATCTTGAAACCGCTCGAATTAGAAGGCGATAAACTTTGATGGATGCTTCTGACGGTAAACTCATCTTGACACTTTGATAGAGTTGCTTCCATAGAGAGGCAGTGACCTCAACACGGATTGACAGGATATCATCACTAATTGCGGTCGGATTTCGAACTTCTAGTTTTGATCGTGCATGGCTTAGCTTTTGAACTGCAGCTTGCAACATATTGGTGTCCTTGAATGCGATACGTTCTATCAACAAATGAGCGTTCATCCGAATCGCATCCCATTCTGCTGAGCTGTACTGGGGATGGTATGCTACGTCAAATAGGATCGGAAGGTATAACTGTAGCACCCCTCGTTTTTGAATCACGGTAGCTATCTTCGAATGAACGTCAGAAATCGAAGGTGCGTTCTCGGTAAGTAGAGGACTTCCAGGATTAGACAGAATTGGCTCTGTAGGTTGCGCATCCTGGAGTGGTATTGTCGGAAAAATCAAGTTATACCAAGGAGTAAACGAAATTTCGATTGCATGAATTCGGATTTGTAACTCGCGGTCTTTCTGAAGTTCACATAAAAAGATTTGATGAATTTGTGTAAAGATGGTCGCCAAACTTTCTTCCATGTGATAAGCGGAACAGATCAATGGAAGTAGCCAAAAAAGACATCTCTCAGTACTTCCTGAATTAGATAAACTATCGATGAATGAATTGTTGATCAAGATTCGTGAGAAGGCCTGATGTGGCAGAAGTTGAAATGAAGTTCCCGAGGCTTGACTATCTGATACTTGTGGATTCTGCCAATAAGATGATTCCATCTGGCAAAGCAACACTCCAAAACACTCTAATACTGTAGTAATATGATCACCGTTATCAGATAAATGTGATGTGATCAAACATCCCAACTTGAAAAGTAGTGGATGAGGTGAGCCAATGTAACGTGGAATGGCTCTGAGAATCGATAATAAACTCTGCCAACTGCTTTTCCGATTGGGTGGTGGTTCAGCTAAGAGTTGTGAACCGTCGGACGGCGAGTTTTGATTGTCTCGGTGTATGATCCTGATGACCTCACGAGCAGCTTCTTGTAACCCTGGGGTCAACTTAAGCTTGATAGGGTCCCCGTGCATGTTGCGAGCCGCGATTTGATGCAGTAAAGCACGTGCATTGTTGGCACATAAATCGTTGCTGCTCATCGCTAGTAAGGTCAACCCCGGTAAGGACGCATCCGCAGAAAGAACAGGAAGGGGTTGATGGACGGGCTGACGAGCCATTGCATTCGAGATTGGTGTCCATATTTCGGGATTCGAAAGGACCCCAGGCCGTGACAATATCAGGAGAAGTATGGATGGTGGTAAAGCGTCTAAGCAGACCGAAGGCGGCACCGGATTGGACTCGGGAATTGATGCTGAGGTGATGTCCACTGGTGATACCCAGCTCCTTTTGCATAAATTAGCCAATGCTTTGTCAAGGCTCATGATAAAGTTAGACACCATTCGATCCGATAATTTGGGACGCAACCACCTAAGCATTAATGGATAGCCAAATCAGTTTTTTTACTAGCTTGAGATCCTGATAAAGATAAGCCTCAACTTGTCTGCCATATCGACCGTACAGCCTTCATGGGCCATCACACAATCAGTACAGCTTTGAAGGCAGTCTTCGAATGCTTTCCTCCATATCGTGATGTTGCCTTTGGGTTTGTAACAAATCAATCGTAATAAGAAAGAACGAGCGTCTGACATTGAATCTGAACTAATCGTGATGACTTCTTTCTGAAGATCGTTTCCCGTTAAGCCACCAAGACGGACGCCTTTCGAACAGTAAAAGTGGCCATAGCCTGAATCAGGACCTAATGGAGCCTCGTCGATTGAAAGATGATCAACGATCCATTGAAGCCCTGCTGTGACCGCTGCTGTCCCAATTGCTTCATCTCGAGGGCTTTTTCGAGCGCTTTCAAGTTGTTGAAGAAAGCTAGATAGGTTGGGAGTGGTGTATAGACGAATAGATGCCATTTTGGATTACGATGAATGATAAAGTTGATTTCAAGTTGATGAATAGAGCATGGTTGTTGAACGAATCCTTGAAAGTTCACCAAAGTGGTCAAAGGCCAACAGGCACGCGATAAATGTATCTGCATAACTCTCAGCTCAGCCCTGGTCCGATCCCTCGACTCACAAATTCTCATCATCTCACATCTTTCCCCAGCTGTGACCCACTCTTTTTTGAGCTAAACAAGTCATACGTTGGACACACTTCCCAATGAACCCACAGCATTCTCTCACTTTAAGAGGCTCTCCCAAACCAGACCTTACAATTTGAGGATAGTGAACTGGAAAAAAATCAAGGACGTAAGCACCAAAGGCTCTCTGCAATGAATTTATATCATTATATGTATAGATTATACCCTGATCATGAACATCATATCACTTCTCATGGCTAATCAAGTAATCTGTACTTATCTCTGGTATAGACACCTACAACTTTATAAAATTTCAAAAATCAAGACTCCAATCATAAATCATAGCGTATATATACTTAAGTATTCTCCAAAGAATGGAACCAAAATGATATAAAATACAATCATACAAATAGATAATACCTTTCCCAGATATATATGTATGTAAAAAAACAAATCTCAAAAACTTTTATCTAGCCAAAACAATTCCGTCAGGTAAATGACTAAAGAGTTCTTCATATTTTTGTCTCCATCGTAAAACATCACCTTTTTGTCTTCTAAAAATTACACTCCAAATCACTTCCTGAACTTCTACTTTACTTTTATCATCAATCTCCATTGAATCAGTACCAACGTTTGTTGAAACTTCTGAATCAGTATCAATAATCGGCTCAATTCTTAATGATCCAATCATTTTTTGTTTTCGATTATCAGTAAATGCTACTTGAAACTTCACCCCTCCTTGATACTTTTGACTTTGATCTTGATTTAAATCATTCATTAATGGTTTGACAGCGTGTTGAACATTGACCACATCAAGAGCTGCGGTAAAAGCCGTTACGAGTTCTTCTATTGATGATTTAGATATAAACATTGTTGAAGTATTTCCATGAAGCATCTTTTGGGATGCTAAAGTAGGGTTTTGAGTCTGATAAAGATTTGAACAATCAGATTCAATGTGTCTAGGTAAAAGTTTCTCGACTCAGCATGAAGAGGTAAGTCGGTAAGAGTATTGACTTACAAATAATCGAACTGTGCAAGAGAAAGGTTGAGTAGGATTTGCAGCCGTGTCGTTCAAGTAACGTGCAGCAATTTGTGACTTGGCCATTTCTTGAGACATTTGAGGTAGTGATGTACTATTAGGATCGAAATTGGAATCTTTTGGGATAGCCATTTCGGTACAACTATTGAAATGGTTCTGTTAGTCATATATTGGCAAGAGGAAGTAAATAAAATCAAACTCATACAATTGATCGACCTCTTCATCGAAATGAGTACCCTCATCAGCGTTCTGACGCTGTTTGGCAAGTCGGACTGCGAGAGTTTCAGCAGATAAAGCTAGTCCCTCACGATTCATCAGACAGTTTTTCCTGGATATTGTAGTGATCGAACAGTGGATCAATATCGATCAAAGTGATCGTGAAGAGATCAACAAAGGTCTATGGTATGCTATGATTGTTGAAAAACTTGAGCGTACCTTTTAAACCATGGGTCCTTTACAAGTTGAGTCATGTTCATTCTTAACTCCGGGTCTATGTGCATCATTTGTTGCAAGAAATCTATATCAAAAAAACATAAATGAAAACATGGTCAAACAAATTCGAAAGATGTAAATATGGTCGACATTCAAAATATACGTTTTAATTCATGATTTATTCGCGTCCATGGATCCGTGTGCCATATAGACCCGTCTACGTAAGCTGCAAACTCGGGACTTTCCAGAGTTGGAGTGTCCCAAGGCGTGTCTTAAAAAAATAACAGCGCGCAAAGACATTTACGAAGGTTAGCACAGGCTAACAAGTACAAGGGATTCTGTTTAAGCATCAGGCCGAATAGACTTACTTCCGACCAGGAGGACATAGAGAATGATACCAGAAGACCACATGTCGATTGCTGGACCATGATAAGGTCGACCAAATGCTAACTGCTCGTGTAGAATAACATCAGATGCTTCACGTCCCGAATCCGTTCAATGCAGTTTTGAGAGTGATAAACTAACCTCTGGAGCTGCGTAAGGTGCGCTTCCGCAGATCTCAGATAACATTCTTTCCTTTCCGTTGTATTTATAGACAGAGCAAAGGCCAAAGTCTGAAAGTAAGAGATTTCCATTCCCATCTAGCTAAGAGATCAAAGTTTTATGAATAACTGAAATATTTGATTCTGATCTCAATGATTGTGAGACATTTGAAAACTGACAAGTATATTCTCCGGTTTCAAATCCCGATGCACTACTCCTTTACTATGGCAAAAATACTGATGAATGCGAAATGATTTCAACGTTAGTGAGAGTGTGCAAATAGGATAGGTTTTCACTCAAGGTAAAAGTTAGGGTGATTCACTCACTAGACCAGACATCAATTGACGAAAGTAAAAGTGAATCAATTCTAAATCATTGTGCAATCCGACATCTGGGACTGAATCCAAGTTCATTGATATCAATTTTGGAGTATTTCAACTCGATTCTGATGAAAGTTGTTTACTCAGTTGATCAAATAAATCGCCACTAGCAGCATACTCCAGGATGATATAAAAGGCCGGTGGTATGTTTCGAGATGGTAAACCTTCATGGTCCTCGAGGCTATCGATCAATTCAAGTATATTTGAGTGCTTGAGGGTTTTGTGAACTTTGATTTCTTTCTTAATACGTTTATATGATGCTTCATCTAAAGTTGGATTTGATTTTTTGTTAACCAACGAAATCACTTTGACTGCAGCGAAAGTTGAGATATCCTGGTTGTAAGCTCGATAAACTCTGCCAAACGAAACACGTTAAATTTTGATCTTGAGATTCGATTACAAATGACATCTTCACAAACCTCGAAAAACCACCCTAATCAAAGATACCCAGCATCAAAAACTGTCAGCTCGGAAGTAGGAACTAGTAGATAATTGAGAGTCGACGGACTTCGGCAATATCGGGTCCAATCGCATAGCCTTTGATAAGTGGATACGGTGAGTTCGCGTAGACTGATAAACCCGCCGACATGATTCGAGGGCCGAGAGGTAAAAGCTGGTTGCTGACGAAGAAACAAAAATCGAAAAGAGGGTCGAGTGAAGTGACAGATTGAGTGAAAAGTCGATCTGAATGTTCGTGAGAATAAGTTTGGTGGCATAATGAGCGTGACTATGTAGGTTTGCACGCGACCTGTATTAGATGTAGGGCTGTGACCCGGTCCCGGCCCTGCCCGGCCGAAGGTGCCCGGCGATATTTTCAACGCTGGCGGTCCCGGCCTCGGGGCTCTGAAACCTAATCAGAATAGGGTGCAAAGCCCTGCGGGCGCCCCGGGCGCCCGGCCCGGCCGACTGCCCGATCCTGTTTTCGCCAAAAATAATATAAAAATTTCCCCTTTCCAAGGGTTTTTTACTCGTAAATCTGGGCCCGGCCCTGCCTGGACACCCAAGGCCTGAGATTCGGGCAGGCCCTGGTCGGCCCTGAGAAGTTTCCAGGGGACCTCGGGTCTACCCAGGGTCGGACTTGGCCCCGGGGCCGGCCACGAACTCTCAGGGCCGGGTCACAGCCCTAATTAGATGTATGCTGCCTTTTAGTAATAAAACTGTATTGAAAAATGCACAAAACACTACAAAACAGCTTCATGGAAAAAATAAAGGGAACATAAAATGACAAAGACAATGGTTCAAGTGTTGTCCCTTCACCTTGATGAGCGCACTTGCCCTTACCTTCTATCCGAAAGTCCCTTTCACATAATTTCTCCTAAGAATCTAGACACCATCAGAAAGGGCTTCTGAACTTAGTCATCCATGAACAGCGCGTTCAATGAAGACCCAGCGTGATCAGATCATCCATGCTAAGCTGAATATTGATGGTCCTCTCCCCCCTTCCATGAAAAAAATTATCTGTCAGATATAAAGGGGATTCAAGCTTCCTACAACATACAGCCAAACCCTCGCTATTGCATGATTTGGGGAGACATTTTTTGATTTGCATGATCACGGGTTATGTATACAAATAGGCATAAACCACAAAATGTATATTTTGTTGCATTATGACGGTTTTTTGTTGAAATTGTAGAAAGCAATAGCATGTTTGTATCTTCCACAGATACAAAAGACAATGTATTTTGTTGAAGTTGAAAAACAACATTGATTGGTCTTTCCCAGCAGTTCCTGGGCTTTTACTTCATCATATAGTTTGATTAACAAAATAACTGAAGGGGAGGATTTTGGATGGGACATCAAAGTGCCATACACCACTTAACTCCTTGAACAGATCGCAATCCCACTGAAGAAAAAGAATCCTGCTAGAGTGGCATTGGAAATAATGAAATTTAACTGAAGTTTACTCAAGACAATGATGCTGTCAACCTGGAGCATGGGGTAAATCACCAATTCTACAACAAATATCTGCTTGTAGGTCTCATAATTGGATGAAAATCTATATACCTTGAATCTACTTCTGATTTGATATGTTTTTGTTTAATCTAAAAACGGAAACTAAGCCAAAGTAACCCTGGAAGGCAGCTGAAATGTCCTATATGTTGAAGGTACATGCATTGGGTCTTCTGGTGTCAAAAAGTTTGAGCATTCTTGATTACCAAGACAAATGCTACTCTATGAAAATACAAGTATTTTATCAAGAGGAATAAGTTAAAAACAACCTTAGTACTGTTATACAGCTAATCCTTGATTGCTTGCTTTTCTTGCGCTTTTGTTAACAATCTTGACAATGTTATAAAAAAGGACTTCTGTTAATAGCTGCTCTTCTGTTTTAACTACTGCCTACAGTCCTTTGATGGGCTCTTGGAGTGCTGTACTCTGCTGTACTGCATAAAATTTGGGTTTCACTTACAATTTTGATTTTTTTTCACAAAATTAGAGTCTGAATATATCTGATGTGGATATATGAACACCTTAAATATAGTATTGCAGCTTGTTCACTTTGTTGTCTAGTTTTCTGAGCATAAATTTGACACATCATCATTGTTTGTGTGAGTATGGCCTTGTGTGACCCACTACAATTCAGTTGGTCTAGTGCAGTCAGTGGGCTGCTCTGACATTGACTCCTGGCCTATGCAAGACCTTGCGTTTTTTGTGGTGTTTCTGCAACCACACAACTACAGGTCATCACTTTGAATGTAGAAAGTTGGGTGCAAGACTGCTGGTGCACATGTTATATTAGACAGATTCATGAGTTGAAGGCACATTGGCTTCACTTTTGACCCTTGTTGACATGCTATTTTGCCAATTTTATAAGTCAGTGACAAGTTGCAAAACTTCACAGTGCATATTTTGCTTGACAAAAACAGGACACAAAAAATAAAATGAGATCTGCAGAGTTTGACAAACTTGATAATTTCAACCAAAAAAAGTTTGATGGATATCTGAAACCATGTAATCACACCATCCAGCCAAACTCCATGCATCAACTCAGGCTCTGCCACTAGCCCAGGCCCGCTTTATGCAAACACCATATTACTGGGTTTTTGACACAATAATGCATTTTTAGCAACAACTGCATGATCAGGAATCCAGGAGGCTGGACACCAAAGCCAACAGCTGTGAGTTTCAGGTGTGTATACATCCACATAAAATAGATTTAGAGTCTCATTTTGAAAGACAAAAAATGAAATTGCATGCAGAACACAAATATTATGCAGTATAGCTCTCCCAGGGCCTGTCAAAGGACTGTAGGTGGCAGTTAAACTGTAAAACCAGCTAGTAACACAAGAAAAAACTTGATAAGATTTTGAAAATGTTAAGCATTCTAGAAATAGCTCTGTGCAATGTACAATATCTTTATTTGATGGTAGGTAGGAGCAAGCTTCTAAACACAGGAATAAACTCACGTTAACAGGGTATTTAGAATTGATATTTGGCTACGACATCATTTTTATGAGTAATTCTCACCATATATACTCTGGCTTATCTTATCCTGAGGTATGTTCCCTTGTCACCCTAAATGCATTTGGGATTGTTTTTCCCATACATGGTGTTCCAAATTTTGACAAGCATGCATACTTCCCTGTAAGCAGATCAAGTGAACCACAGCTGTTTTTTCCGCCATCCTTTTTGCCTTGACTGTTCAAGGAAAAAGAACTGTTGTATCACCTCTCCTTCATATTGTTTGCTTTATTATTCATTTGAATAATGGTTTTGAATTACATATAACTTTGACCAAATCCAGTACTTTGGTAATCAAAGGTCTGACAAGATGATCAATTGATGATTTAGACACAAATATGGTTCAGATATTTGGGTGATGCATTTTCCAAATTTGAAATTTGATTTAAGTGAGCAATGTTTCATGCTGTAAGTCTTTAATCAAACAACTAAAGGAATGATGCATGGTTACTCCATAGTCACAGCAAGAAGGAATGTCTCTGCCTGAAACAGTTGAAACTTACCAATGTGTGCACTCGAGACGTCGCGATGAGGAATGTGTCTACTGGAAAGAGCTGAAACCTATCAATGGCAATGCCTCTGCCCAAAACAGATTGAAACCTATCACCACCACAAGCACTATAACACATTACATCATGTTGGATTTATCATGGTCCCGTGTTTAAAAGTTATCTTGACATGTGGAACTGCCCCAGGGTCTGGATCCATTTTTGTTGCTAGACCAACCCCAGTCCAAGTAGATGATATCCCAGTACCTTTTGTATTTATCCTTGCAAAAATCACAGTCCCACAAATTCATATGACAGAACCTGTCAACTACTGAATATACACCAACTTCCAGTTTACATTGATTCCCTATGCACAGAGTGAAGATTTGATTCTTTGTGATGTTTGCAACACTCCATACCAACAGTGTACACCCATGTACAAGTGGTGCTCAATAAAGACAGATACATGTCACGGAGGTATGTAGGGCTGCATGGCAACTACTCTCAATTCGGAAATCCAGAGTAGAACTGATCATTACCACATATATTTTGCATTTTCATTAAAATTCTCAGCTTTTAAGTTGTCCTCATATATTGAATCACTTATACAATAAACACTGTCTAATGACCAAAGATCAAGACCAGGATCATTCAAATGAGTTCAACCTGCCATTGGCATCCCAGAGGTCAGACCAGAGTGAGGGTAAGGATTCAAACAACCAAGGTTGGTTGAGACATCATGAGCTGTATATTGAGCCTCACTTTGATTGCAATGAGTTTGGGTGAATTTTGTCATGATCATCCACTTCAATCACCGTCTGCTGATGAAGGTTTGCAATCATAAGTTATTGTGTCATTAGAATTATATCATTGAAATAAAATCAAGCTTGAGTAGAATTTCTGACCCCCCATCACAGTCAGCAAGACCACAAAAGCAGCCACAATGAATGAGTTTTTCAAAATGTGAATGACTTGGTTCCAGATTTATATGACACACCTTTCTGAACTGTTTGATTACCAACTACCTAAAAACTCACGATCACAGCAATTGTTAACCATTCAGTTATTTGTTTGAGCCATTAGTCAAACACCACACATTGGGTATTTAATCAAGAAGATGACTTGTGACCAGATAAAGTTTTGTAGATTATGAATGGAAAAGTGACGGAATTGTAAATGAGCTTGGAATATATGGAATTTGACTTGAAAATTGATGCTTTTCAACCACTGTTTCTTACTTTGCTTGGGTATGCAAAGAAAAGAACAAGACTCTGTATTCATCAATTAGGTTTGATTGAATTAGAGAACCAATCCCATTGATGAGTAACAGAACATTATAATATATCACCTGTTGTGGAGTCTCACACTCCTCCCCACCAAAAATGGCTCTAAATCTTTGGTTGGAAATCAAGAAGAATAATATCAGGACAAGACATTCCAAGGAATCCAAATATGGACATCAAAGGACTGATCTGAGATTTGAATGTAACTCTGAGATTGATTACAATCATAAATCATTTCTATCTCATACAGTCTCAAGCCAAGCATGCATGCTAACTTTTATGTAATAATTGGTGCCTAAGTACAATTATTTAACAATACTTTTCATGGACAATTTTTTTGGCCATGCCAACATATT